GATACATTCATAATTTGACAAGAGCGCTTTGATTATGCTCGTGCGCACCGCATTCCCGCCCGCGGTGTTGCCAACGATGACATTTTTATACCCTGCGGTAATAAATTTCTGCCCGGATGCACGGTATTTTGAGAGAGTGCTGGATCAAAATATTAGTGTCGGAGAGAGATAGTGGACGTTTGAATTTTATTGTTAGCACGTGTCTCTGTAACGTATTGGGGATTTGCATTTTGATCTGTCGTTCAGTTTGATGGCGCTAAATCGCGTGTGGTTTATTTGCTTTGACACTTGCGCTGCGAGCGTTACGATTTATATGTCTAACGTCACTCTATAAATAGTTGGGATCAGTCACACGAAGGATTGACGACGCCGATTTTAAACTGAATGCGGTTCGTTAAAATTAACGACTGTTTGTTCTCTACGTTTAATGTTTTAGCGCAAATACTTTCATAATGGCTATAACAAAGATAAACCTTTGTGCCCGCCGTATCTGCATTTGAACACGAACAATGGTGCCGTGTCTAGAACGACCAATTTTGTAAACAGGAGCTGAGCAAACCAGACATCAGAATATCTAATCGCTCCGTATTTTATAACATAATTAAGTTCAAATACAGTCAGTGGATTCAAACGCCAATATAAATTGAAATTTCCAATCCTCGTTCCTCCATTAATGCTAAAATCACAGCAGTAAGACGTTGGAACTTAACCGCAGACCGCATGAATCAAGTCGGCGCGTCATTAAGGGAACTTTCAACGGATCTAGACAATTGTAGGACATAGCAGAGCCATTGGGGGCGTCTAACAGCGCTGATGATCTAACTTGTGTAATATCTTACGCGTTATTGCGACGCCTTGCATTAATGCACTGCCGCTGTAATGCGACCGAGCGAGTTAACTGTCGCCGCGGTGGGCCAGTGTTGCCAGATTATGCACTCGAAATTATTACTGTAATGCTTATTAGTTTCGAAAGAGTTTTTAGTGGGAATGGTTTCTGGTGGTTTCGGTTTAAATTGGTTTCCTGCGTCTAGGTGGCTCGGTGACTTGGTGCCTGTTTATTTAGCGGGTGATTTTATACTTCTGTCTTACTTCAGCCAATTTACAACAACTTTGATTATTTCAGTAGCCACGATTGTTGCAATTACCGGCAAACTAGCCCTAACTAATTTCTATATAGATTTTCTTTTGTCAATCCGACGACAGTCAAGTGCTCGTCATCCGCAACACTTCATTATACAGGAAACTACACACAAAATGAATGAGACAATATGAATATATCACTGAGCACTGAATGACTGAGCCTACTTACTTTATGAGTTGCTGACAAATTGTCAGTGTTGTTGGTGCGTGCGCCCTTAAACGCGATCCATTACCGCTATAGTTAGCTTGGCTCCGAGTGATTCATTAGCGGGCCGGAGTGAAGCAGCACGCGACTCCGCTGTGACCGACGCTATATTTCACTATTTCAAGTAAATTATTTCTTTACACGCTCTGCCTGTGACTTCGTCCAGAAACATAATACCTATTCCCAGAAAAACTTCGCTGAGATTTTTAACGCCTTTTCCTTAAGTACGTCGTTGCGTTTATAAACCTCTAACCATACACACCATTCAGATTTGTACCAATTTTTTGTGAATTACAGGAAAAGTGGTTTCGTGCAGAATCGAACCCACTTCATGATGTACTTCACATTCACAAACTAAGAAAGGGAATAATTTAAAATCCTTTGAAAATAAAAGATGTGGTGTCTTTTTTATGGAATAAGCGGATCATCTGATGGTAAGCTATTGGCGCCGCCCAGGGACGCCCAAAACACCAGCGGTGTTACAAGTACGTTACCGGCCTTTTGGGGATTAGGAACTTGAGGACTGTTGGAGATTCATGGATTGGGAAGATTGGGGAGGGGAGTATATAGGTATCTAATTGTGCCTCTGATATCTGTCGATTGATTGACATTTACCTAATAACTGACTGACTGATTTTTGTGCCATTCACAACTATTATTAAGCTGCATTTAGATTCTCCATGCCATGGATGGAATACAATTAATTAAATAAAAGTAAAACATGAAACCAGAACATGTTATTGATTAGAAAATGTATTTGAACACTACTTCCAAGAATAAAGTTGGACAAACACAGCTACATTCGCTAGTTAAGAGATAAATATGTGCTAAGACTAAGGCCTCCCATTCCCATCACATTCTTGTCCTAGGTAACTGCTGCAGGCTGCATTCTAGCGTCTCGTCTTGGGACTGTACTGTCTAATTAGTTACTACTGTATATTTAATCAACTAACCCATAAAAATACTTATTTTTCTAAATTTCTTATGCATTAATTAGGTAGGTAATAGTGATACAATAGTGACCAGGTTGGCAATATATTAAAGATGGGCCAAATTAAAAGTACCCTTAACCGACAAGCATGCATGAAAAGATTGATGACTGTTGATGAAGCGAAAGAGGTATGTAAGAATCGTAGTAATTGGCGTTTCTTACTCTCTGCCTATCCCCATGGGAGACAGGCGTGAGGTTATGTATGTGTATGTAATTAGGTAGGTAAGTACTTACGTAGTTTGCAGGTACCTACCCTTCGAAGAAAGAATAGGTAGATACCTGCTGTAAGAACTAATGCCATTGCTTTTGATTGAGTGTTCGTAACTTCGTAAGTGATAAAAATCGAGTAAAGTGCAAGTAATACATAGGTAGGTATTAAGTTTTTAAATTCTCGAAAATTCTCAGTGGGTACTGAGTCAGTACCCTCTACCTACATACTAATGTATTAAAGTCATACTGGCACAAAGCAGTAACTTTTTTAAATGTTGCTCCACACCATACAATTTTCTCCTCCTGTGTCGTGGACGTGGATGCATTTTACAAATAATTTCACATAGATACCTACACATGACTCCCAGTGTGACTGAATTAGAGTTCGGTGCAGGCTACATAATATTTATTTTACTGACAAAAAGTGTGTTATCCATAATAAATACTTATTAGTAGATATTAGGAAATACATACACCCATCATTCAATCATAAAATATTACAATTATTCATAAAAGAATGCTTTTCAAAGGTTGCCAACGCACTTGTAACTCACCTAGCATTTACAAATAAGAAGAATTACTTATCGATTGTCAGGTGAAGCGTCTTCAAGTCCCGAACCTCGTATAAAATATGCTCACCACCTTACTCCTTACTACAAATCGTTTCATGAAACCTATATCAATAAATAGTACTTACATTATAACTTTTACAATTTCAGATCGGCATTATCCCGTCATACCAGTAGCTGTGCCAGTGGGCCCACAGCACGTCACTGTCCACATGACCAGTGTACATACGTGGCCACGAATTCTAGCCAATTGGCCAGGTGAGCTGCAAGTTTTAAGTATTTACTTACAATACCAAGAATGTTTTATCAACAAAATTAAAATTGTAGACAGCGCCATCTGTTGATGTAATTGAAAATTACGATAAAGTCTACTCGCATACAGTGATTCAATTATTTGCTGTATAATACAATAGATGGCATTAAACGGATATAATAGACTCAAGAAAAGAAATTTAAAAAATCTTACTTTGCGTCACATTAAAATAAATTATTGTAATTAAAATTATACTTGACATAGTTATAATTCTTTAATTCAATAGTTGTCCTTAAACCAAAGTGAAAGATACCCAAGTCTTTAATTGGTATAATACTTCTACTCGACAATAGATGGCGCTATAAGAAAAATAACGAAATAATAATATTTTCAGACACCGCAGATCTCACGGGGAGCGTATAAAACACCATGAATGCCACCTTTGTTCATTTAAAAGTGATCAAGCAAGTCATATGAAGAGGCACATGCTGTGTCATCAAGGAGTTAAACCATATGCCTGTCCTCATTGTTCTTTTACATGTGGGAGCTTGGTAAGTTTATACTTGTGAAATCATCAAACATTTATATATAATCTGCGTATTTTTTAATTGTTGCTTATTAAATTGTTAGGATTTTACTGTAAATATTTTTCTTTTCATTGCATAAAAAGCAAATTGGTGTTAGCGCCATCTAGTTCATAATGTTTTTTCCTGATTTCACTTAAAATCAGCGAAATGTGATAATTGTGAATTATTTTTTGCAGGAGAATCTTCGCAAGCACGTACTCCGAAGTGGACGTCACCCAGGGTTATTTCTTTACCATTGTAGATTGTGTCCCTATAATACAAATACGGCGACCGAACTACGTGCTCATTTAACTACGGCTCATTCTCACAAATATAATGCTAAAACTGCTATTGAGGCTGTTAAAATGCATTTAATTGTTGAGAATAATAAAACATAAGTTTGATTTTAACTTCCAAGATAAGACTTGTGTTTGTGTTTTATGAGATTAATGTAAAAAAATCTGTTTCATTAAATAAAAATCAACACCTTAAAATTCATAAATATTCGGTTTTATTTTAATTAAAGGAACTACTTTCTAAATATTCTAGCTAGATTTCTAGCTCACGTCAAGTCAAGTACTTATCTGTGAAAGTTGAAATATTATGATTATTTATTATTTAAATAAAATTACATTTCTGTTTCATTACTTTAGATTTGAATTATTTCTTTATACCTGAGTCCCTTTTATCTATGACTATGTCAATTTTATGAATGGTTGTCGCTGGAACGCGCCAGTTGATAGCTGTCAAAACGCGCGCAACTCGGCGAGCGAGGGAAAAATCGCAGAGTCGAAAATACGACGATATCTTGTTGACGTACGCCCGTTTGTATAGTATCGACAAAAATAATACCGCTTTCAGCTGTGATCCGCGACAATATTAACACAAACAATTGTAAATGAAACATACATTATTATTGTTCCTTACGTAATGTGGGCTAAAGTATGATAAAAACAGAATGTGTTCAGTTTTATCGTAATAAAAATAGTGCTGTGTGTAAATTGTAATATTTCGAATTATGACTGTTTGAGCACACGTGTAGTGCTGTAATCGATTTGCATCCATAATGTCGCTGAAGGTGAGTGCTGAATTTATTGATTTCACTTAAAATTATAGTATTTTGGCCAGTGTGATCTATATTTAATTTTTGCGTGGGTAGCTCACCCTTTCCTTGACTTGTTATCGAGGGTCGCTCTCGCCTGTCGCAAATATATTTTATGTTTTATCACTAATTAGGTAGGTAATTCATATTATCTGCTATATTTTAAATAAACAAAATGTAATGTGCGTTTTGCGGAAAAACCTTGAATAAATACCTAACAATGTTTTGTTTTGATGAAATAAATTATTAAAATTAAATAACTTAAAATGAGATTTACTTAATTAACGAAATAATTTGTTGTCATATAATATATGTTACCTATTATTTTGTAGTAGTATCCTAACCCAAGCTTGACAATTTATTATCTAGTTAAAAAATTACCTATTTTTTCAGAACTGAGTTTCTGTGAAACAAACAGACTGACCGGTTCAAATTTAAATTAGAACAATTTCCATTCAATTACCAATCCATTGCAATGGCTACTGTTTTCAAGTCAAGTACCTAACTACATGAAGAATGAAACATCTGGTCATTCAACCTAAATATTGCAACAAAAATTAACATTGAATGTAAAAACAGTAATTAATAAATTCCAAGACAAAAATATTGTATAGTACCTACCTACCTAACTTTTTCTGTTTATGAACCATAAAGTTTACTTACATTCCATATTTAAAATATTTTTTCTTTTATTGCCAAAGACAACAAATTATTATCAGCATGACTTGCTTGTGTTTCATTTGGTCAAGGACATGACATAGAAATGGTTATGTAATTCTGTCAAGGACACCGCCATGGTTTGACTTTATTTGGTCCCATGGTTTATTATGATTTATTGCATGACATAAAACATTACTGGCTATTTTGTAAATCCCTTGTTTTGTTGAGCTTGCATTGTTTTTGGAACCGGATAATGTTTTAGCTCCTACTGTACAATTGAAAAAGGGAATTTAATTTGTTTCATACAAATTGGATGAAAGGCTGTGTAGAAGTCAGCTTTTCAATATTTTTATCGTCACCAACAAGCCTAGCCTAAATCATGAGTTCATGACAGAACAATATGAACTTCTAGAAAATGTATGATACCTCTTGCCATCTTTACCGTGGAATATTATCAGAAAATGATTTTTCTCGTAAAATTTAATACCCATTTATCTAATTACCTATTGCATATTTCAACTAAATGCAATCACTTAATAAATTTTTAGGCAGATCATACCTACCTCTTATAAAATCGCGGGTTACTCACGTTAATATACTGAGAAAAGCTCTACTAGTTTCAAACCACTTTCGAACCGCGACAGAGCACGCTGCTCATGAGGAAGAGCCTCACTGTGGTTCGAAACTAGTAGAGCTTTCCTCAGTATATTCACGCGAGTAACCCGCGATTTTTAGTTAATTTAGTAGGTATGTCTCACGATAGTTATTAAGTATAAAAACATTAAAAGTCTCATTAAAATATCTTAGGTATTAGACAAAAACAACTCTTGTTTAGTTCAACATGGTTTAAAATACCTACCTCCATTACGATAAACGATCCTAGTAACGCAGCCTTATCTGACCGCCATTATAAACCTACTTAACTACTGCAAAATACTGAAATAAAATTTCCTTCAAACAATATGGCCGTTTATTGGCACGGACATCGTAACTCTGAGTAATAAACCGGTCGGGACATGGCGGGCGTGATGGAAAATGTTAACGATATACTATTTCGACAGCACTGCAGATGCACCTTTACACAGAAAGGTGGAATAATTCGCGCACACCAAGCTAATGTCGACTTTATGCTGATCGACAATAACGACTTTAAAACTAGTTAGGTATGCGTGCGAACTAAGGGGGAAGATTGTTCAGCAATTATAGACGTCTTATGGCTTATAGCGAAAAAATTTCATTAATAAATTGACATTACGAGGTTACGAGATTACGCCCGTAAACACTAGTTTAGTCTAATGATTTTCGATATCGAAATGAATCACTGACAGAATCAATAACACTGCTAACGAAAAAGACATACAGCCCTTTACTTCACATTGAGTAAATAAACTAAGAAACAATACCGTAACCAATAAGTTGTATCATCAGTTAAAAGCCACTTAGGTTCCTCATATCTTGCGTTTGACAAATGCCAAACAAAGCCAAATCCAATTAATATAGTATGCATTAAAACCGGTCACGAGTTGCAGAAGATAGTCCATATTTAGCGCGCCGCCGCCGCCGGCAAGGCTCAGGAACCAGTCGAACCAGTCGCAGTGTCACTGAACCAAGGGTGGTCGAGATTCGCTATATCATGCCGATGACGTCAAATTACGATTATCACTGCAGAATCCTTTGAAATGTGGGTTTTGCACCCAAAACTTCTAAGGTGGGAGTCAATTTGCATATTGAAATTTTGGTCACTAGTGAATTCGTACTTTATACGAAAGTTTTTTAAATTACAGTGGTCATTTTTTTAGAATTTTAAAGGTATACAATAATTGTAAATGAAACCAAATGGGGTTTATACATATAAACCCATAAAATATTTTGTTACTTATCCCGCAACACGCACGGTCCACAAAACTAAGAATCCTTTTAGTTCCAACTAAGAAACACATAAAACATAGCACTGAAACGTATGATAATTTTAACGTCCATAACATGTCCATTTTACATTCGAGAAACATCATTAAGTATCATTATCATTGTGGTGTAATACTGCAGTGCACCGTGGAATAAATTACATAATGGCTACTTTTAGATGGATGTAAATTCTAGCCTTATTTCCCTCACAAACAACTAGCAAATAAATCATAAGTGTTGAATGAACTTCCATTAACGACAACTGTACATTGCCTGGAAAACAAGCTAACAAGAATCTGTATAAAATGGAACATCATTTTCCAAAATTGAACAGATTTCTAAAGTTTAGCGAAAACTCAAAACCGATCTAAACTTCTTCCATTGTTATCTCCGAGGCCATAAATAAAGCACATTGACAATTCAAAAGTTTTATCGTACCACCAACTCTTTGATAAGGTCGTTCGAAGACTGGGCCTTGTTCTGCAAATAAAAATAAGTAACCCGTCTGTTTCCCGGCAGTTGTAAAAGACGAGGAAAGTGGGACACAGCTGCCAGTCTGCAACGAAGCTACATATCACTTTACACTGCGACCTTTAATGGGAACTGGCCAGACATCGCAACTACACGTTTATAATCGCAACCAGCCAACCTTATACTGTGAAATAACCTCCTTGTAAAACCTAAGTCAGTCTTTAGAGTTAAATAATATACCTAAGTTTAATATTATCTGTAAATTCTAAACATACTTAGTAATCCCTGACCATTTGCATTTCTTTTCATGGATTTGCGATCGTAGAACAACGCTGAGTCAGATAAGATTCAGTTGTGTGTCAATATTGAATATTGTGTTTCCGAAGTGTTCCACATGCTATTAGTATCTAAAAATGTATTCTTGGGATTATGGGGTTTTCTAAAACTCCATAAATATTAAGCCTTTCATTCACTGCAAGATCTTTGTCGACCGGCGATTTTCTCCACATTTTGAAATATGCGCCTATAACATCCATTAACCGCGACAGTTACCGTCTGGACTAAATATAATCTGTTTAAATATTCACCCGCTGCTCTGCATCCCAGCCTGTCTGGATTTAGGTCTAGACGTTATAAATAAAGGGAGCTTTAACTTACGAGACTTAATTTTACGATAAGTACAGAATTTGCTGATTTCTAATATTTTATAGCGACTTAGCGAGGCAGGTAATATTTGTTTAATGTTGATAAATGTAAAAGAAATTGACGTTTGGAATATTCTAATATATAAAATCAACAAACCGAAGACGATCAAGATTAAATACATGAGTTATTAAGTCAACACAACAATTCAATGGTCAAGTAAGACTTATTATCACTTCCGTGATAACAAATCAATAGAAGAAAATGTGACGTCACAGTTGGCCATTTGCATAACTTATAGCCCATTAAAGCTATAAGCAATTACAAATGTTACGATCCCAATATAATAGCAGTAATAAATATCGTAATCTTAGTTGTTCGTTTTGCAAATTAAACCGTGACACTTTATGGTTTAAATCTGTGACCCAGTAGTTACTATTGTTTGCACTTTATGGTGATAAGTTTGAATTGAAGCGGTTTCCATTTACGCATAATGTGGTTCAATATCGGAATATTTTATTCACATATTATGTTTTATGACCCCCTGAAATCTAGACTAAACCTATGTAACTAGTAGGTACATCAATACATCAACACCAGTTTATTAAACTTTGGCTGACTCATTGTCATTGCCCTACGTATGCCCTTCACACCTTCACCGATACTTAAGCCACTTCTATTGGAAGACTGCAAACGAAATCAACTTATAGGCTCAGGCAGTATTAAACTGCTAATCTTATTTTCCGCTGCTTTTCCGTTTGTTCGACAACAGCAAAAAACAGTCCTTGATCTAGAAAAAAAAAAGTAGAACTAAACTAAATAACCTTATTAACTCGTCGAGTACCGTATTTATAGACACAATTAAAGAACAATAGGTCGCGGTCACCGGTGACCGCTTGGTGTTTGACAGTTTAACGGTACTATTGAAAATTGTGTATTAGAAATGAATAAAATCGAAGCAAACAAGTGCATCGGAGCGATCATCGGATACAATGCGGTTCTAACGGAGATTACAACCACATGGAGTTATGTGGTCTTGTTCATAAGACCGTAACTACGACTAGACGGCTCCTACTGCCTTTTATGGAGCGTAAATAACTTATGTGTTTTTGAACTTATCGTAGACAAAATAGGACAAGCCTTACCTTCCAGTACATGATTTTCCTTTTCTCCAGAATAAGTAACAAGCGAAACTTTGTATCTTTCGGTTACCTACTAACTTTTATCATCTTTAATATCAATATTTCTAGAATATTCGCTATCGTGTTTGATAAGTCTGTGACTATAATACTAAGTAC